GTTACGTTACGTTACGGTAACAGTAACTTCTTTTACAACGAAACATTTCCCGTGCAACCAAACATTTCAAAATTGGGTAAAGTCGTTAGATTAGGGAAACATACAAAAAAAGGGGAAATATTACACAAAATATAAAAAATCTACACAAAAATTGCAACATTTATTAAGACACCGTAACACGGCAACCTTTTCTTCTTTTATATATGTTAATAATTAGACATGTTTGTTGATCGATCAAATAATAATTCTAATAAAAATGCCTAACCAACACCAACAAAAAGAAAAAGAAATCAAGATGATCATAATTATGAGATCATTCATGGGTAAGTGTTGTTTATCATTAAATGGTGGTGGTGGTTATCGCCACCACTTGTCACTCTAGTTTATTAAAAAGAATGGTGGTTCTCGTCACTAGTTAACATATAATAAATTTCGGGCTTGCACTATAGATCAATGGAAGATGCCGGAAGTAAAATCTCAGCTAAGGATGCTAAACGAAATAAATCAAGTAACCAAAACATTGTTGTTGACGCTGGCCAATCAACCAGTGATGAGTTCGAAAATATTGATAAGCTTACTGAGAATATTGTAAATATTGAGAAAAAATTACCTTATGTCGAGGTAAATAGTAATGATCACACATCACTAATCTGTATGTTACATATATTTCAGAATGATGATGATACGGATGATGATGTGGAGTTTATTGTTTCTTCTTCTCTTTCGAATAAATCCAAAAAGATAAAGTATTAAGTTATCATTTGTATAGTTTTCAAAATAACTAGCAAATTCTTGAATATTCATTGATTTAATAGCAAAAGATGATCCTTTCATGGAAGCACGTTATTGAGAAAATTACAATTGATTGTAATTCGGATAATGATGTGAGTATTGAAAAAAAAAATTCATCCCAGTTTCTACATTAATCATTGATCTTTTGCCTACAGTGGATCGTGAACGGATACAATATTTCTGAAGATTTTTGTAAGTTCCAAACACAAGCAGTGGAACTATTGAAGAGCAACCCATCCTTCTCGTATGCAATGGATGTTAACCAAATATTGTAAGTATCTTGTCAAACATGCATAGGCTTTTTTTTCAATATTTAATATTTGCATATAATTGCAGATGTCTCTCCTCAATAATGTATGTCAAAGAAGATAAACCAGAATATATCCAATGCTCTAATCAGACCTGGAAGGACGCATTACCTAGACAGCTAATACCCATGACCTTGCCAGTTGTTGTTCAGCTCATTATTGTGGAGTATAGCACGGTAATGACTTTCTTGGATATTGAGAACATTGTAATAAGCAATTAATGAAAGTAATAATTTATTCCTATTTGTGGTTTAGCTTCTAGACGATAAGCATTTGTTAATTAACAAATGGCACCAAAACTGGGCGAAATGGGATCCTACAATGACAGATGAAGAGAAAAAAATATTGACTGCATACAACTTGTTATGAGAAACTTGTAAGTTTAAACTTAATGAAGAATTTGCAGTTACCATTATTGTTATGCTTATGGCTATATATTCTGTAGTTTCTTGACCTTAACATCAAATGATATTGATCATAAAATGGATGAAGATACTTTCGCTCATAGGTATCTCCATTTGTTGTTGGAGGAAGTTTTTAACATAGATGATTATAAATTCGTTTGGTAAGTTTAATGTGTTTGAAATCTTCATAATGCAACTATATATTTATTGTTTCTTTAAATTTATAACTCAAGGGCCAATGGAGAGTCTTTAAGCTCTAAAAACTGACGGAAATCTGATAATCACACACATGGAAGGAAACCTGATTTTCGACTTCTCTTCAGTAAAGATAATAAAAAACACGAAATCACCTATGGAGAAATAAAACCCCCATCTACACTTAATAATGTTGTGAATAAAGCTTTGATAAAACTTGCCGAGTTAATGAAGGGATCCCTGGATGATATAGGCACAAACTAGGATTTGAAACATTTGGCATACTCATTGATGGTAAGTTCTCTCTATCATAATTTTACTAAACTTAATGATCAGTTTACCAAGCTAATTATATATAAATTCAATAGGCTCTAATATTAAATTATTTAGCATGGATCTCAATTTTAATGGTGTATACCGTCTTAACCAAATCAGAAAAATGACCTTGCCAACTGAACATGCCAATATTTTAACTATTATCCCAGTTATTTCGAATTTTTATAGCTTATTGGTAAGAGTATAATGATCTTTTGTGATTACACCCAAGTATAACTTCTGATTATTTCTTTCTTTCATTCAGAAAAGAGTTAACCATGCTATTGAGAAGTTAAATGCTCCATCTACACCAATGGATTGATCCTATCATAGATTATCAAATTCGTCACCTCAAAAAGTTATCTCAATATTGAAACTCCCACCTCCTGCAGCTTTGATTTAATTACCATATTCGTTACTCAATCACTTATTATTTGTATCAGTTAGCTTGCGCTGGCTTTCTTCTTAATAATTCATTTACAAAAATAAAGATTTCGCTTTGACACTTTTAACTGTGCATCAATTTCTTAGCAAAGTGATCGGTGTTCAAAAATGGAACACGCACATAATTTTATTACTGTAATGGAAATTTTAAAAATTATATACTAAATATAGAAATATGAATGTGAAACTTCCCATGAATGGAACATAGGTTATCAGAGATATCTGACTAATTAATAATTTATTATTTATAGATAAAAATATAAAAATAAAGAATGTTCTTTGTTCCTATTTAGTCATGCAGTCATGTAAGCTATAATAAATATAAAGAATTGGTTTTTTCGTATTTTATTGTTATAAACTTAATATTATTGAAACTCTCAATCTTTGTTTTTGCCTCGGAAATACTCTTTCATATGGTTCACTTGAAAAAAGTATTATATAGAGCAATTTTAATCATTCCAATTATTTGGAAACATGTCTGAATATTCTTCTATCAAAATTGGCAGATGGTTCCAATGCTCCCTTTATCAAAATTATTTTTAATTATTGTTTATAAATCATCCATTCTTCTTGATTAGTAATGTGCCGTGCATAGTGTGTTATGGAAAGGTTTTGGCTATGTTTTTTACAGACATTTATTTATTTCTAAAAAAAATTATATATGCTGCTTTCTTATTGTTATGTGCGAATTTATAATATTCCTTCCCTATGATATATAATAGCATGCATAATATTCTCGAAAAAAATCAGGGTTGTTATCATTTTTGATTAAAATTTATCATCTGATTCCTTTTCTATTCCAAAATGTTCTAGCAAAATATTCTTTCATTATTAGCGAGTCCCACCCATTCATAATTGATAGTGGAAATTTATTTCTAATTAAAGAATAACCTTTCCACTTTGTCCTTTATAATGAATTTGCAAAAAGTAATCCTAAATCTTCGTTTTTGCTCCACATTACTAAATTACAAAGATTACAGCATAATTTTTTTTTCGCGACGCGTTATTAAATCCTTATTCATAATATAATTACTAATTTTCTAATTTTTAAAATTTTATTTTGCAAACTTTTTTTGAGAAATGTTGAAACACGTGTAAGTAAATTAAAAGGAACAGAATAATATCTGCATACACGTAATGATGTATAACGCAACTTTTGACTTTAGTCATTGACATGACTAAATTGTTAAATGACCCGTTGAAGAACGAATGTGAAGTTCGACGTATTTGTGATTATTGTTTAACAAAAATTGAATTGAATACAAAATTTATTTTCAAAAATTTATCTTGAAACAAAGTACATATGTTTACTAAATTACAAATAAATAATCCATGTAATATTAACTAATATCAACAGGAAAGTTTAATTGACAAATATTTAGAAAGTTAAGTGAATAATTTAAAAAAATCAACCAAAAGAAAAAAAATAAATCAAAATATTTACATCTCATTAGAATATTATCTCAGACTGATTTTAATCCAAACTATCTAAACCTTCATTTTCCAATGCATTGTTTTCACTTTTCAAAACTTCATTTTCCAATGCATTGTTTTCACTTTTCAAAACTTCATTTTCCAATGCATTGTTTTCACTTTTCAATTTATTGAATTCATTTTCCAATTCCTTGAGTTCACTTTTCAATTTATAGTTTTCACTTTCCAATTTATCGTTTTCACTTTTCAACTTATTAATCATTTTATCATTTTCACTGGTTTGACTTTTCAATTCATTGGTCATTTTTTTGTTTTTATTTTTCAATTCATTGATTGTTTGATTATTTTTATTTTCCAATTTTTTTTTTTCATTTTTCATTTTATTAATGGTACTTTCCAATGCATTGTTTTTACTTTCCAGTTCTTGGATTTTATTTGATTGACTCTCAAAATTTATAAATTCTTTATTTTTACTTATTAATTCATTGTATTTACTAGTCAAGTCATCATATGTAATTTTTAATTCATGGATTATCTTGTTGGATTTGTTTTCTGATTCATTGTTTTTATTCTCCAATTTTTTGATTTCACTTTTCAATTCCTCCCGATCTTTTAAAATATTAGTATAATCATCATTACTGATTATAGAAAGCTTTCCAAAATCAAAACAGTTTGTTGGTATTGTAATTTGTCCTTGTACAAATTGTTGTAATAATTGTAGTTGTATGAATTTTTGCTGATTTTGCAAGAGTTGTTGCTGTTGTTGTGTGAATTGTTGCTGTTTTTGTAGGAGTTGGTGGCGTTGTTTTAAGAGTTCCGAGAGATGTTGCTGGTGTTGTGTGGGTTTTTGTTTATATTCTAAAAGAAGTTGCTGCTGTTGCTGTTGTGCGAATTGTTGCAGTAGTAGTAAGAGTTCTTGCTGTTGTTGTAAGTGCCCTTCCTGTTGTTGTAAGAATTTTTGTTGTTGCAAGAATTCTTGCTGTTCTTGTAAAATTTGTTGCTGTTGTTGCTGTTGTGAGAGTTGTTGTTGTTGTTGTGTTAATTGTTGCTGCTTTTGTAATAGTTTTTGCTGTTGTTGTAAAAACTTTTGCTGTTTTTGTGGAGGTTGTTGCAATTGTTGTTGTAAAAGTTGATGCTGTTGTTCTAAAACTTCTAAAAGTTGTTTTTGTAAAGGTTGTTGCTGATGTTGTAAAACTTGTTCTTGTTGTTGCCGTTGTTGTAGCATTTGTTGCTGTTGTTGTTGTAATTGTTGTTGTTGTTGTTGTAAGAGCTGTTGCAATTGTTGTGTGAGTTGTAGCTGTTTTTCCAAGAATTGTTTTTGTTGTGTGGGTTTTCGTTTTTGTTGTTCCAAGAGTTGTTGCTGTTGTCCTAAGAATTGTAGCTGTTGTTCTAAAAGTTGCTGCTGATGTTGTGAGAATAATTGTTGTTGTTTTTTAAAGATTTGTTGCTGCTGTTCTAAAAATTCTTGCTGATGCTGTGTGAATTGATTTGTACCATAAGCATTCAGATTGTCTTTATCAGTGTCACCACCATCATAATCACTAAGGCCTTCTAAAGAGACAATTGAATCCACCATTTCCAATTTTTTTTAAAAAAAAAGGAAAATTCTGTGAAACCAAATTTAAATTTAGAATTATTATATGGTGCAGATCATATATAATCATTAATTGCTTATAATGACAATTGGTCAACTTCAAAATACTAAAACAAAAAAAATTATCTCATTTTATAAAAATTTAACTGATAAGTTTTATTGTTTATGACAGGCTTCAAAACTTATCAGCTGGTTTTCTCTTAAACTGAAAATTGGCTGAGGCTTAGCAATTGAAAATTCCGAATTTTGTTATACACTTAAGAAATTGAGACTAAATAATTTCGTGAAACAACTTTTTTCATAAAATATTTTCTACATATTATTAAAAAAAAGGAAATAAATAAATCAAATAAATCAAATGTATAAAAAAGTTTAAGTGGTATATCGTGTAACAATTAGAGATTCTTGTCTTGTATATGAAATATAGTGGCTAATTTACAATGGCGGACATTTGATTTTGTCACATGTGACAAAATCGATTGGCGATTTTTATATTGTGCGACCGTTCGAATTCAATTATTCAAAATAGAAAAAACCTGGTCATAATAACATGATCAAACATAATTGCAAAACCCAAAAAATATTTTGCAATAATATACCTTTTGTTGAAAACTTTATTTTGGTTAAAAATAATCCTATCAATCCTGCAAACTACAAGATCTCATTATGAACCATAGATTTCAAATTTTATACATAAATTTATCAAGGTGTGTGCAAAATTTTTTATTTTTTTATTTTGAAATATACAATTACAAAACATATAATATTTTTAATTATTGATTCAAATGCCTTTGTTTATTATAGAGAGTATTTACTAAGATGTTCATTATAAAGAAAATTTAATTATAAAAAAATGAAAGGGAGATTTTGTTATAGAGAGAGAAGTTAATTACAAAAAAATATCCAGGGACAAAAGGGGAGTTCATTATTATTATAGAGATTTCATTTAGTGTTCATTATAGAAAGAGTGAACTGCAGACACTATGTGATTTGTTGATTACATGAAAGGTAGTTAGTTGTTTAAATTTATGCAAAAATATATATATTATAACGTCGCTCAATTATTATTATATACCATATTAATGTTAAGTTAGTTACAACATCAGAAATAATTTTTTTTGAATGTGTATGTATATAATAAAAAATAATAATTTTTAAAAAAGACAAAAACGTTTTTTGTTATCATTCATTATCTTCGTCATTGTCTGCCACTGGTGTGCTGCATTCACCATCATCGATGTTCTGAACTGCCAAATTAGCTAATTTTGGTATTTTTACCTTTGTTCTAATCGATGCAGCAGGAGCTTTTCCCTTTTTTTTTCTTTTGGGATTTTCAATTGAGGGCATAATCTCTCGTGTGGCTTCTACAGTGTTTAAGGTGGTTACGGTTCTGCTACTGCTGCTGTTGAAGAGGTTGATGAATGAAAGGTAGGTGACCTGGATTTTGTTGACCTTTTCTAGATTACCTGACAAGATAAATGAGCTTCCACTTTGTGCACATTCGGAAGTCTCGAGTAAGTAATTGTTGGAGATCCATTTATTTTGATTTTGATGTTGAACTCATCCCTTCCGTGTTGGTTCATTGTTATTGCAGTCATTGTTACAACAATTTCTGATGGCTCTAATTCATTATTCTCAAGTTCCATGATTTTTAAATTCGTCGTCATCACCTGGAAGAGTGATATGTTAGTTAAAAAAAAACGCGCACAAATTAAAATGAAATTTCCATTGATTATAAAAAAAATTTTTTCTTTCAATTTTCTAAAACAATACACACCTTCAAGAACTTCACATTTAAATTGTCCACATCTGTGTCATCAAACATAAATTTCCCTCCCACTCGAACGAATTGGTTTGGTTTTATCCTCTGTAAATTTGTCTTTACATCAGGGTCTCTTGGGTAAAAGCAACCATATGGACAGCAAGTTCTTCTCCAGTTGAAGATTTGGTAACTCCAACAGAATTCATGACAAAATTGTTAATTGTAGGAATTTCTCTTGTTTCTGTAACGTAAACAATCAAGTTGACTAAACATGGCATTTTGACAAATAAATACGTAAGATTTTTTTTTTTGTGATAATATTTTAAAAAAAAAACACGAATTGTTGTTGGATAAATGATAAAGATGTATACGGATTTATTGTGGATTGGTGTTTTTAATAAACATAAAAAAAAACAAAAAGTTAAGATGGCAGACTTATTTATTTATTTCTTGCGACAAAACAATTAAATTAATCTTTATTTTTTTTATTTTTCACGAATTTCAATTGTTGACGGTAACAAAGGTATTTTTTTTTTTGAATTCAGGATTTTTTAAGATGATTGGTTCTGTGTAAATAGGAGATAAGAGGCTTTCTCAAATCTTAGATTGATTGGTTTTTTTTCTTCCCCATTACACATTATTTAGCATAATAGAAATTTCATTTTATCTAAAAAAAAGAAGATTGGAAGTTCTTTCTTGATATTTGCAAAATGTAAAGACATTGTTCTCATAACAATAGTGCTAATTGAAATTTCCAAGGAGGCTTTGACTGTTTTTAAAAAAAATTTCTTCAGATATTTTCTAAACATTAACAGTCACACGACGTAAACCGGTTTTCGTGAATATGTGACACGATCAAATTGCAATTTGCATATTTGCATGGTTTATAAAACGGACTGTAGAAGATTTCCGAACGAACAATTTTTAATTCAAAAGAGCCTACAATTATTAATAAAGGTATGGAAAAAAATTCTACGGTAAATGTCCAACAAGTTTTGAAAAAAACTGCTACTCTCTCTCTCTCTCTACTTATTGTTGTTTCTCAACTCGTCTTCCATAAGTCTCTTAACAAAATTTCTTAATGAATAATAACACCAAGCACACTTATTCAAAAATTTCTACAATCTATGAAATCCCGCCATGAAGGAAATGACATGTTTAACGATTTGGTTTGATAAATTACAACTTCATACCTGCTATAATTTACCTGGTGAATGTTGCTTAGATTTTCAAAAAAAATCCGTCCAATTGAAATATTTAACATACACCTGAAATTTTTACAATAAAGTCAATATTTTGTTGGCTACCCATTGCTTTCAATAACAGCTTGACATACTCCCTATTAATTTCATTAGGATATCATTTGTAATTCTTCTCGTTAAAATTTCTCATATTATTTGGACGTTTCCTAATTCTTTCTTATCATAAATGTGATATTTTTGAATTTGTAACACTATTTTTTATAAAGACCGATTATTTCACCACATTGGATCTGGACATTTTAATATTGAAAAAATTATTAAAATGGTTTTTTTTAAAAAAAACTTCAAAACAACTTGGATGTTTATTTAAGGCGTGCATTCTCACATGTAATGTTATTTAAGTACGCTTAATTAATTTTTTTTTGTCAGAAATATCTTTGAGAAAAATTTTCGGACAAATTTTTTATTTCATCATAAAAAAAGTAGAACTGTTTCGAAACTCTAAAAATCCCCAAACCAAAAAAAAGATCCCTAATCATTATTTTTATAAAAAAAACAACTAACATTCTATTAATAAAAATAATAATTTTTTACATATTTGGCGGAGGTGAAATTTCAGGGAATTGCATCAAAATAAAATATTGATCTATATAATAATTGCATGTTATTTTAATAATATATCATCTTTATCCCAAAAATTAGCAAGTGATTGTGTATTTACTTTATATGCTGCATTTCCTAAAGATTCACTTGCACCATCTCTTTCTGCGGCAATATATATGTATTTTTTTTTATCTCTTTAATATATGTGCCAAGTAGGCTTGCAGTTTATTAACAACTTCCATTCACAATTACATGCTTTGCATTTGTCCCGGATAACATTCAAATGTTGCCAATTGCATTTTTTGGTCGCTCACATATTTTTTTTGAATTTGATATCTACATCAGTATTGTTTGACATTATTGTGATTAAAAAAAATTTATATATATTTTTAAGAAAGAGAAAAAATTATATTAAAGCAAATAAGAAATTATATTTATATTGATTTAATTGTCAGGACAATAATATCAAAATAAAAGGAACTTTTGATAAAAACATAGGTCACTTGAAGAGAAAACGAATTATGTCATATTATTATAAATCAGTTTTGGGAGTTTCAAAATACTTTGGGAGCTTTGAAATAGTTTAAGAGTTTCGGGTTAGTTTCGAAATTTTCTAAACTAATTTAAAAAGGAGGTTAGAGTTTAGAAAGGAACCTCTGCTTTTGACCATGTAGTAGTGCATTCATTTTTGATGTTTATTTCATTCAATTGCATTGGCATTGGATGTTGGTTATTCTGGAGCTCTACATATTTGTGATCATTGTCTAATAAAAATTGAATTGTCTTTTAAATAGATGATCATTTTTATAGTCATGTAATATCAACAGTAAAAGTTTATTTAATTGACAATCAGAAAGTAAAGTGAACAATAAAGCAACCAAAATATATTGTTTCTAATTCCAAACTCCTTAATTTATCCAATTTATTTCTTTTAAGAGCACACGTTTAATGCTATGCTATAAAAAGTTTGATTTCACCATCATCATTCATTGTATTTACTTTCCATTCATTATTTTCGTTTTCCAATTCACTGACTTTACTTTCCAATTTCTTGAGTTCACTTCTCAATTTATTGTTTTCATTATTCAATTTATTGACGGTCTTACTATTTTTACTGATTGTTTTATTGTTTTTATTTTTCAATTCATTGTTTTCACTTTCCAATTTATTGACTTTATCTCTCAATTCATTGATTGCTTGATCGTTGTTTTCACTTTTCAATTTATCATTTTCACTTTTTAATTTATCATTTTCATTACTAAATCTACTGATTGTTTGTTCTTGTTTTTGGATGTTATTTCTCAATTCATTGATTGTTTGATTGTTTTTTCTTTCTAATTTATCTTTTTCACTTTTCAATTTATTGTTTTCATTATTAAATCTATTGATTGTTTGATCATTTTTTTTGTTTTTATTTCTCAACTCATTGATTGTTTGATTGTTTTTTCTTTCTAATTTATCTTTTTCACTTTTCATTTTATTGAATTTACTTTCTAATTCATTTTTTTCACTTTTCAATTCATTATTCTTGGTTTCCAATTCTTGGATTTTATTTGATTGACTCCCAAAATTTATAAAATCCCTCATCAATTCTTTATTTTTACTTGTTAATTCATTGTGTTTACTGGCCAAGTCATTGTATGTAATTTTTAATTCATGGATTATCTTGTTGGATTTGCTTTCTGATTCATTGTTTTTATTCACCAATTTTTTGATTTCACTTTTTAATTCCTCCTGATCTTTTAAAATATTAGTATAATCATCTTTACTAATTATAGAAAGCTTCCCAAAATCAAAATGGTTCATTGGTATTGTAATTTGTCCTTGCACAAATTGTTGTAATAATTGCAGTTGTGTGAATTTTTGCTGATTCTTCAAGAGTTGTTGCTGATGTTGTGTGAAGTTTTGCTGTTTTTGTAGGAGCTGTTGATGTTGTTCTAAGAGTTCTGAGAGATGTTGCTGGTGTTGAGTGGGTTTTTGTTGACATTCTAAGAGTTGCTGTTGTTGCTGCTGCTGTATGAATTGTTCCAGTTGTTGTAAGAGTTCTTGCTGTAGTTGTAAATGCTCTTGCTGTTGTTGTAAGAATTTTTGTCGTTGCAAGGATTCTTGCTGTTGTTGTAAGGGTTGTTTCTGTTGTTGTTGTTGTGAGAGTTGCTGCTGTTGTTGTGTTAATTGTTGCTGTTGTTCTAATAGTTTTTGCTGTTGTTGTAAATATTGATGCTGTTTTTGTGGAGGTTGTTGTAATTGTTGTTGTAAGAGTTGCTGCTGTTGTTCTAAAACTTCTAAAAGTTGCTTTTGTAAGGTTTGTTGCTGTTCTTGTAAAATTTGTTCTTGTTGTTGCTGTTGTTGTAGTGTTTGTTGCTGTTGTTGTTGTAAATGTTGTTGTCGTTGCAAGAGCTGTTGCAATTGTTGTAATAGTTGTGTGAGTTTTTTCATTTGTTTTTTTTTTTGCAAAGGTTGTAGTTTTTGTTGTTGTCCTAAAAATTGTAGTTGTTGTTCTAAAAGTTGCTGCTGATATTGTGAGGATAATTGTTGTTGTTTTTTAAAGTTTTGTTCTTGTTGTTCTAAGAATTCTTGCTGATGCTGTGTGAATTGACCAATATCATAAACATTCAAATTTTCTTTATCAATGTCACCACCATCATACTCACTAAGGCCTTCTGAAGTGACAATTGAATCCGCCATTTCCTTTTTTTTTTTAAAAAAAAATAAAAAAAAGGAAAATTTCTGTGAAACCAAAATTTATAGTTATGTACAGTATATTAATATGCACAACAATCAAAAAGATTTTAAATTCATTCATATTTAATATTAATATTAATATGTGAAATTCAAATTTTCCGTATCCAAACACACCCACCTCAAAAATTTAATTATAAATTTCAATTTCACATAGTAATAGTTTCAATTTCACATACAACATTAATTCGAATACAGCCAAACTTATCAACAGCGGCTTTAAAATAATAATTATTATCACATCCACCTTGTGGACATTCAGCGGAGAATAAAGGATTTTTAAGAATATTCTACACATAAATTTGTCTTAAGTGAGTCATATTTTGATCTGTGTTTTACAATATAATTATGCAAAAACCAATCTTGATTAATGAAAACAAAAATATGTGATCATAATAATTATTATTATAATTGTGAAATTATATTATTACTTATTGTTGCTTCCCAACTCATCTTCCAGTAAGTTTCTTAACAAATTTCTTAAAGAATAAATAACACCAATCACTCTTATTCAAAAGATGAAACATCCCCGCCCTAGAATAAATGGCATGTTTAGTGATTTGATTTGATAAATTACAATTTCAGGCCTGCTATAATTTACCTGGTGAATTAGCCAGCAAGAATGATTTTATTGACAAACGTATGACTGATAAGTTCTCCTGTAGACTCATTGTATACTTTATATATTAATATATATATACACTACGTCAAGAGTATTAATGCAATATAACTTAGTTTTTCATGTAAAATTCTACTCTTTTATAATGAATAAAAAAATACATTCAATTGAAATATTTAACATACACTTGAAATTTATAATAAGGTCAATCTTTTGTTTGCTACCTATTTCTTTCAATAATAGCATCTATCTTCTTGGCATACTCTATTAATTTTCATTAGGACATCATTCGTAATTCTTCCCATTAAATTTCTCATATTCTTTGGACGTCTTATAATTCTTTCTTACCATAAATGTTCAATTGTGGTTCAAGTCAAGCGATATTTTTGAACTCGTAGCATTTCACCGCCATGTTAGCTTTCATTTAAATCCGACATTTAATATTGAAAAATTTATTCGAAAATTATTAAAAAATGATTTTTTTCAAAAGCAACTTGGATGTCTATTTAAGACGTGTATTCTCATATGTATAGTTATTAAGTACGTTTTTGTTTAATTTTCTTTGTCTTTGAAAAAAAAATTTTGGACGAATTTTTTATTTCATCATAAAAGAGTAGAATTTTGCGTATATAAAATCATGAAATCCTAAGCTACAAAATTATATATATGATTCTTTTATGTTTTACTATGCAATACTTTTATTTCATTTGACATTCCAACTACATTTGCATTGGATATTGGTCATCCAAAATCGTTAAACGACCCATTGAAGAACGAATATGGAGTTTGACATATTTGTGATTATTGTTCAATAAAAAATGAATGGAATACAAATTTTATTGTCTTGAAAAACTGTACTATACAAATAAATAAACAATCATTTTTGTAGTCATGTAATTATAATTAATATCAACAGGAAAAGTTTAATTGACAACCATTAAGAAAATAAAATGAAGCAATTCAACAAGAAAAAAATAAATAACATATATATTATTATTTAATTCTTTACTTTTGATTCAATCTATTAACTAATTTCAATTCATTGAATTTACTTTCCAATTTACTGTTTTCACTTTTTAATTCATTGATCATTTTATTACTTTTCAATCCATTATTATTACTTCCCAATCCATTGTCTTGGCCCTCCAGTTTGTTAGTTTTAATTTCCAACTCAATGTTTTTACTTTCCAATTCTTTTATTTTATATTCTGATTTTTTGAGCTTGTCTATCAATAAATAAAATTCACATTTCAAGTAATAGTTTTCCCTTTTCAAATTTTTAAACTATTAGTATAAATCATCTTTACTAATTATAGAAAGCTCTCCAAAATCGAAATGGTTGGTTGGTATTGTAACTTGTCCTTGTACAAATTGTTGTAATAATTGTAGTTGTATGAATTTTTGCTGATTTTCCAAAAGTTGTTTCTGTTATTGTGTAAATTGTTGCTGTTTTTGTAGAAGTTGGTGGCGTTGTTTTAAGAGTTCTGAGAAATGTTCTGGTGTTGTGTAGGTTTTTGTTGATATTCTAAGAGAAGTTGCAGTAGTTGTAAGTGCTCTTGCTGTTGTTGTAAGTGCTCTTGCTGTTGTTGTAAGAATTTTTGTTGTTGGAAGAATTGTTGCTGTTGTTGTAAGGTTGTTATTGTTGTTGTTGTGAGAGTTGTTGTTGTTGTTATGTTAATTGCTGCTGTTTTTGTGATAGTTTTCGCTGTTGTTGTAAAAATTGTTGCTGCTTTTGTGAAGGTTGTTGCAATTGTTGCTTTTGTATGAGTTGCTGCTGTTATTCTAAAACTTCTAAAAGTTGCTCATGTGAGAGTTGTTGCTGTTGTTGTTGTTTTTAAAGTTTTGTTCCTGTTGTTCTAAAAATTTTTGTTGATGCTGTGTGAATTGATTTGTATCATAAGTATTCAGATTGTCTTTCACTAAGATCCTATAATGTAACAATTGATTCCCTATATATGTATCCAGTTTCTGGCAATTCTTTTCTTCCATCTTCACCTATGGCTGCCATTTCTTTTCAGCTTTTTAGAGGCTCAATGGTGCGAGAGAAAGTCTTTATTGAAAAAGGCGTTTGAATCATTGTTGGTTCGATTCGAATCAAAAAGATTTTTTGAATCTGTTCGAATCGATTCATATGTATGTTCTACCTTTAACGTTTTTATTACCTCTTGTCTTTATGTTTTATACGGATGGATCCTCCATTTCATTTTTTTTTTTAAAAAAAATAAAAAAAAATGGAAATTTTTTTGTGAAACTACAAAGTTATACCCATTCACAAAAAGATTGGCAATAAAGTTTAATCAATAAATAAAAAACTTTTTTCAACAGTGGCATTAATTAGCACCCTCACCATGTAGATTTTCAGCTGGGGATAAAGTATTTTTAACAATAAAAATTTACATAAAAATTTACATAAATTTGTCTTGATACCTTCAGCATTTCGATATGTATTTTAAACCTATCGGAGTTTCACAATAACGTAATTTATAATCAATTAGATAAAAAAACCACCATTTTGACTAATAACAATAAATTATGCGGTTATTGGAATATAAAAATAATTATTTATTTATCTTTGTTTCCCAACTCACCTTCCAGTAAGTTTCTTAACAAAATTTCTTAATGAATAAATAACACCATAAATCAATTTTACTTCTTCGTTGAGATTAATTAACTTATTATCAGATATCATGCTTGTACTGTTAATTGTGATGCGGCAGAAAGATTGCATACATGATGATAATGTGATCAAATATTTGTCAATTTTCAATAATCATATCAAATTGTCTCATGTCAAATTATGAATCGGTGAACTCTAAATAAGGATTTACGGAGGAAAATGTCACCAATCGACGACTTTGTATAAAAAAATGGTAATATACTTTAAAATAATATTTTTATTTTATGAAACAAATGACAAAGAACATATCTATACATTTTTTTTTAAAAAATATCGAAAAAAAAGGGATTGCTCTTGGGGATCTTCATGTAACTTATTAACAAAAACTGGTCTATACATTCAAACCTTGTCACAACAGATGAACGGGACATATTAATATAAGAAAATTTATTTGAAATTCATTATGGCAAGATTACTAATCTTGCCACAACGGATTTTATATGTTTTTATATGTGACGCAAGGATTTTAAAATTATAATCCGCTGTGGCAAGGTCCACTGTGACAAGATTTGACTGTAGTTATTTTTATTATTCAAATTGTTTAGTATTCAGCTACAAATGATTGAACCTTTATTCAAATGAAAATATTTTGAAACTCTGAAATTGTTTTTAAATTCCAAACTATTTTAAAACCTTGAAATCATTTCAAACCTCCAAAAGCAAAATGATGCCATAAATGCTTTATGTAAGAAAAATTAAATCTTTTTCAAAAAATTTATTTGAATTTAAGGATACTGGCTGCAACTTTTGATGATGGTTGCTACCATCTTTATGTCATATGAAAGTGATTACAACCACTGGTTGAAACCACCTTTACAACCATTTTGTTTCCTTTTTGGATTGCGACATGGAACACTATTTGAATTTATCACATTATTGAGATGTGGAAGATATTTTTGCAATCATTCTATAAGATATTTCCTCGATTTTTTAATATTACAGGTGAATCTCAATAAGCAGAACTTTTGGATAATAATGAGTCAGCTTATCAAACTCGGTTTATTAGTGAATCAGTATTACTGTAAAGTCTGGAAAGATAGCATCCATGATAAATATCAATTTTCTATGAAATTATGACGATTCATACAATAAATTGTGCGTGACAAATCATAAAAATTACTAAAAAGGCAATGTCACGGGTGTTACGTACCTTTCCAAACTTTATGATAGTGTTATTACTATTCGTGTGTAGATATTTACTTTTAAGCAATAAGATGAATTTTAAAATTGGTTTATAATTATCAACATCAAATTTTAAGTTAGTGTTAGTTTCCAAAACTAGAGAGATTCGCAACCATGCGAAAGTCAAAAGGTTTCACCATAAGTCGAAACTAGTTTTGATTTTTGACTATTGACTTTTGATTTAGTTTTGACATATAACTTTTAATTTTAGTTTTGACGACCAACACTATTTTAAGTTCAGTCTATCAAATTATATTAAATTCGGCTTAACAAGATAATTTTATTAATTATGTTTTTAGTTAACCAATTTTGCATAGTTATAAACAAAAATCGGTTTATAATGGCTCAGCTTATCAAGATTTAATTTTAAAAAGATCATTTGATTTACAGATGAATCATCAATCAATTTATCAATAATAAATTATCATTAATGTTGATTACAAAAAGCAAAATAATATCAATAATTTATTATTACCAAGAACCTTGTAATAAATACCCATCTGTACTTTGATTTTAACAATATAACATTTTATATAAAATAAAAAACACAACTTCTTTTTTTTTAAAAAAAATCAAATATATACCAAAAAAAAAATAATCAAAAGAGTAAAAATAATATTAGGGAATGAATGAGGAGCCACTTGTAAGTAAGTATTATTCATTAAAAAAGAATGGCAGTGGTAATTGCAATTGACACTGCTCATTGTCATTCTGTTAAAAAAGAGCAATGGTTGTCCATTTCTAAAGTGGTGGCTGCATGGAACCACTGCCACTATTCTAGTGATACTTCAGAGACTTAAATAATTAATAATAATGTCTTTCAAACCACAAATAAGAAAAAATAAAGAAGGAAAAAAGGTCTATTTAAAGATTTCAAACTATATTGCTAAAAATATTGTAATTAGTGATGTTAGTCGGTTTACATAATTTCTAAATTTGGTAACAGATTTACGTGTTACTTTCTGGTTATAACAATAAAATTACCAATTTAGGTAGTAAAGACTTAGCCGGATAAGGATTTTAAACGGCTAACATCATTAATTGTAATAGAATTAGGGTAGCTTGTGATCTGTCTAAAGAAGAAACAACTGACAGAATTTTTTTGAAGCTGAAGAAAATTTAATAGAGTCACTGAAGAATATATCAAACAGACTATGTAAATAGAAGTCCTACAACAAAAGTAAATGATTTATTTTATATATATACATTTATAAATACTACATTCATACATTCATACATTCATACACATATTCCACATATGTATATTTTTTATAGGATGCCAATTCCTTTTATCTCACAAATAGACACTTCATTACCAAATGTAACTCCTACAGAACTCTCACAATCTTTTTCCATTTCTGATGATATCAGCACCTTTTAATAATGATATTTTCACACAATTATTATCTAACAAATCCATCAGGAAATTTTTTCTGACATGGATTTATGTAATTATTACACTAGTTACATAATTTTCATGCAAATATAGCAACATTGCATATTAAAACTTATGGATGTAATCTTACTACAGCAGGAAAAATTTCCTAATGGTATCAAAATCTGATGGTAATAAATGGATGATGATCATCAATTGACACACAAACTGATTGAGGAATCTCTTACTAACAATAATGGTAATGATAACAATATCAGTGTATCTGAGGAAGAAAGCATTGCTATTTATTAGTATGTTGATTATTTTTACTCATATATTTGTTTTTGAAATCTTACAGAGAAGCTACAATCTTCAAACTGGGAGGTGAATAAATTACAATAGAAAACACTGCTGCTAAGATGTAAGTATAAACTGAAACATTAATAGTAGACAAAGCATTTTATTTAATTTTTTTTTAATTATATTTATAGGACTCATCATCATCACAACCATCACCACAACTATCATCATCACCACAACAATTTAAATAATGATAAGGTATATATAATATAAAATATCATTACAATTATATTTTATGATAAAATATTAATTTATTTTTTATTTTTTATATAGACAAAATGCACAAAGTTGTGTCCATGCTCATGATTATGTTATTAATAAATACATATTATGTATAAGACAGCAGCCAATATCATGACATCCTGGATGTCACTGAAATTGTCCATCACACACCCAATATTGATGCTATCAGGCAATCGCTATTAAGCTATTCTTTTAAATGTCAATGTTTATTAAGTTTAATTATATCTTATAGAATGTTGTATAAATCATATTAATGTCATTTTGTACCTAAAATAACAAAGCAACCAAAAATAGTTTAATAGTGCTGTTTACCCAATAAGTATTTATTAATAACTAACGATGCCATCTGTAATATGACAACCTTTTGAGTATGCAGTTGTCAGAATATGTGAATGTATCTGTAATTCTGTAATTCTGTAATACATTATGCAATTGAAAGTTATAACCAAATCAAATTTTTCTGCATTTTACACAAATGTAAATCATAAACTTTATTTATAAAACTTTAAATTTAAAAATTTATAACCACACCATAACCAATTAATTCATGAGCTACTTCTATGGGACCATAATCATCACTTCTGGTCTCTTCATCAAAAATCCACATCTAATTCTTCTATTGCATTGTCTTCATTAAACATTTCAAAAACATAAGAACTAAATTCATCACAACTTGTACATCTAAATTCACAATCTGGAATATTTGATTCTTCTGTTGCAATACTAATTTCATTCTCAACTACATCATCATTATCATCCTCATCTTCTTCTTCCATGGATTTATTTAATAAATCTTGAACTTCATCTTGTGTCATTACTACTTTATTTTCCTTCAAATAATTGGTAATTTGTATCCATTTGCTGGATGAGAATGTAAAATTCCATGTTTTGCAAATGACCATTTTTATGACAACTTATACACTCACCTTCATATATGCCATTTCCTTTTTCTTGACCTTGAATAAATTGCCTCTGTACACCTGTGAATTGTCTGTCATGATTAATAGAATTGCTTGGTTCTTTTCTTGGTTTTTTGTTCATTTATAAAAAATTTTGTTGCATAAAAATTAATATATGTGTAAGATTTGTGATATTACAGTTTTACACACACATTTACATATTACAGAGAATTACAGATTTGGCACTTGGTTGCAAATAGTATGACAACTCAGTTGCTAGATACAACTTCTGTAAACCTGACCATCATTAATACATATCCACCAATTTGTGCAGCTTGTTCTTTCTCTGCTAAGCAAGCTTTAAGAGGTTGAAGGTTGAAAGACATTTTAGGGTATGAAATTTTGAGACAAATTTATAAATTTTTAAGGGGCTACTAGAATTAGAACCCATCACATTGTTTAGATTTTTATTATTTTTATTATAAAATAATTTATTTTGATACAAAGATCATTTTTAATATTAATGTAATAATTTCATTTGTTTATTATATACAGAATATACTGTATACGTAATAATTTTAGGGGGTTATGAGGTCTACATAACCATATAACAAATTTTTATAACAAAAAAAGGGAACTTTGTTTTACACATACAGTCACTGGAAAAAGTATCACTTCACCTGATGATCGGCGAAAATAATTGAATAACTCCGGTGATATAAAAAGTCATTATTTTACTAATTAAGTCGATGTTGTGTAATAACAAAAAAATCTTTTTCATAATGAATTCTATAACATACTCAAGTTCCACAACATTCAATTAAATATTGGTAATTTTATAATCTTTAAAAGACAAAAAAAAAATTTCCGGAAATTTTCCAAAAAACTTTAGATTAGAGCCAACTTTAGATGTCATGTTTTAACACATTTTGGGAGCTTAGTAAATGTTGTTTCTTTTGTCTTCAAAGGGATACTTATAAAACCTCATAATTAATTGTCAAATACTGGTCAAGAATCGAATTGAAACGTAAAAATGACTAAAAAAAATAAATGTGTTACATTTAAAATTTTTTTTTCACAAAATATTGTTATTCGTTTTAACGTTTTTTTAACTCTTATTTTTTAATCAACAACACAATGACTCTTACAGAAACAAATACACAGAATACTGAAAACACTGAATTAACTGACTTTGAAAGAGGAAGAATAATTGGTCGTTGGGAAGCTGGTCAAACAACTCGAGAAATAGCAAATGCCATTGGTCGTACTCAAACACAAGTACAGCGTGCAATAAAAGCATATCGCGAAAAAGGTCAAATTACTGTTTTATCTAGAAGTGGAAGACCAAAAAGTTTAACAGATCGAGACTGTAGGACTTTAAAAAGAATTGTCATAAAAAATCGTTTTACTCCTGCTAGAGAGATAACTAACATATTAAATGAAATCACAGACAATCCTACTTGTGATCAAACAGTTCATAGCTATCTCCATGGAGAAGGATATTATAGTCGAGCTGCATTGAGAAAACCCTTTGTTTCTGAAGTTAATCGAAAAAAACGATTTAGTTGGTGCAGAGAAAGAAAAAATTGGAACATTAATGATTGGAATAATATTATTTGGAGTGATGAATCAAAATTCAACTTGTATCATTCTGATGGATGGCAGAGAGTTTGGAGAAT